ATGAATATCTATTAATGAATATTTTTATATTATATACTAAAGTATATACATATATATTTGCATACATACATACATCCAATATTTAAAAAAAAAGTTTTGTTTCTGTTTCCTCTTATATTTTTGTTTTTTGGTTTATTTATTTATTTTTATTGTTTTTTTTTTTTGTTTTCTGTGAATCACTAATTTAAGTAGGTATAATATGCCTATAAAAATAATGTTGTGTATTTTTTCAAAGTTAAAAAAAGAACAAAAAATTTATAGATTATACTTTATATTGTATTATAAATATGCGTATGGATGTGTTTGCATTTGATTTTATAAGCATATATGTAAACACTTAAATTGTATATACAATTTGTGTGTATAATTTTATTAATATATGTAAATATATAAATCTTATTATAAAAATGTGTGAGTCAATACAACAGTATAGAAATAAAATAAAAATATAATAATAACAAAATAAGAGAAAAGAAACAAAGGCAGCAGCAGCAGCAAGAACAACAACAAAAACAACATCAACAATAGCAACATTATTTTTATTTATATACATTATATACATATATGGATATTGTTTATATACATATTTGATACTAAACTTTTATATACTTTAAAAGTATACATACATAAAAATGAGAAAAATATACATAGTCTCATATCAACAGCAAAAGTAGCAAGAAGCACACAACAGCCACTCTAAAGAAAATAAAATTAAAATATTTATTAAAAAAAAAAGAAAAGAATAAGAAATATAAAAAAAAAATGAAAATTCAGACTCGTTGTCGTTGTCGTCCATCGAGTATGTAAGGTACTAATTCCTTCCCTTTTATTTCTTTTTTTTAATAATAGTTATTTAATATAAAATTCGCCTTGAATTTCTTATAATATTATAATTAAAATATTACATACACAGAAAAAAAAATATAAAAAATAAAATCTTAAATAATTTTAAATAAAAAAATTTATATTTAAAAAAAGTGTTTAAAATTTATTTTGAAAAAGAAAAATTGTTTTTGTGTACACAGAGAGAAAAAAAAAATGTTTTTTCTGAACAAAAATTTAAAATTAAAAGAAAAATTAAGAATATGAAAAAATAAGTGCTTGAATTAAATAAATTAATAAAAATTTGTAATTTTAAATGATTAATAATAAAGTTAAAGAAAAATAATTTTGTGAAAGTAAAAAAGAAAAAAATTTAATGCCCTCAAACAGTTTTCAATATTATTGTGTACCTACAGAAAATTTCTTATATGTATGTATGTACATAAGTATATTATATGTACATAAATAAATACGTACATTGGTACCCACATATTTTGTATGTAACAAAAAAAAAAAAAAAATAAATTAATGAAATTTTTCTTTTGAAATTTCAAAATTTGGAATTTTAACATGAATGTAAAATATCCATATAAGTACATACATATTATATATTGTATAACACATATTGTACATTACTGATATATTAAAAATGTGAAAATAATATAAAATCTCTAGCATTCTTATATGTGCATAAATATTTAAACATATTTTCATTTTTAATTTCTATAATTTTATTTATAACAAATAAATAATTTTAACATATATACATGGGTACATATGCACATGTATAACAGAATAGGAAAAAAAACAAAATTTAATTCAAAATTAATTTATATTAATAAAAATAAAATACATATTAATAATGTGCAATATATTTTTCTTTAAGAAAGTTATGAATTTTAATTGTTAAGAAATTTGAAAAATTGAAGAAATTTAAAAAAATATATATGGCTATATTGTAGCTATATAACATTAGCTACTTGCTACTTAGGATGTTACAATATACTATTGTATGTTTGTATACATACATAATATTTCTAATTATGCACATATAATATACCGCTATATATTATTGTATAATATTAATTTCATATTTGTTTGCATTGTGTTTATACGGATATATGGCAGTATTAATTTTTCAATTATGTATATAGAAATTTATAAATATGTATGTACTTCCATAAATAATAAAATAATAATAATATATATGTATGTATGCATATAAATGAATAATAAATATAAAATTTCTGCCTCTATATTAAAAAATGTGTGATGGTTCGTTCATTAACAAACAAAAATTTTCTTTTCAAAATTTTTTCTTTTTTTTTTTTGTATTTTTTTTTATTACATGCATATGTATTTGAAAATATAAAATGTATCTATCCATTTAGTACGAATTTCATTAGCGCGATAAAAAGAGTGAGAAAACGAGAAATATAAAAAGGAATAAAAATATTGTTATACACTTTTATTTGTTTACATATCACTGTGTGGGTGTATATTTTATACATATATTATTACAGTTTATTATATGGATTTATTTTTTTTAGTATATCTGATTAAAAATTACTTAAAAAAATTAACATTTTATTTAATTTATTTTGTTTTTTGAATCAAATTATTTAATATATATAAATGTATTTATTAACAAAATTATTATAAAAACTGTTATATATACAGGCATGAATATTACAAAGTTTATATATACAATTTAATAATTACATATTATAAATTTTATCGTACACAAGAAGAATATAAAAGTTAGTTTGCACCAAATTCTCAATACATATCCATATATGTATAATAGTTATATAAGTGTACGTTGTAAAAATATTGAAATATATGCGCGTATATATATACAGAAAAATTATATGTGTTAAATATTTGTAATGTGTGGGATTATTATATTATACACATATATCAATTAAGCGTGTAGTATATATGGAAATGAGTGTGTGTGAATATTTTCATTGTGTTTTATTTGTATGAAATATGTGTAGGATACATTCATTCGTAAAGTCGTAAATGTGCATTGATAAAACGGCAAGTTTTATTTTTTCTTGTATTTTTTATAAAATGCAAGCTAATAAGCACAATTTAATATATATTAAAAAAATAAATTAATTATTAAATGATATGAAAATAAAATTGTTTTTTTTTTTGTATATCTACTATTAATTTAGTCTAAGAGACTAAAAATATTAAAAAACTTTTTAATAAAAAAAATTTGTTTTGTTATACAGTTTTTTATATACATGTAATTTTTGTATAACAATAATATAAAATGTCGTTCACATATTTTTATACATTCAAATACAAGTATGCACAGATAAAATTAAGGTATGGAAGCACCAAAATGAAAAAAATTGTGTGGGAAAACAAAAAGAATATACATATATAAAAAAAAAATTTTGTAAGAATAAAAATGAAAGAGAAAGGTATATAAGGCAGAAAGAAAGAGAGAAAAGAAAATAAAATCAGTGCGAATTTATGAATGTTTTTTTTTTTGATTTGTTATTTTTGCTCTTATTTTTGTTTTTCATTTTATTGTTTGTTATATTTGTTTGTATAACAGATTGATATTTTTGTGAATTAATATTTTCTGCACAATATGTAAAAGAGAAAAGAAAAAATAATATAATAAATTAAAGATAATATATTAATAAACTCATATTTATTATGTATGTAGTGATGTTTGTGATTTTGTATGATTGAGTATATAGGTTCGTATGTTTAAATTATACACACTCAAATATACATGGATATATCTACATTATAAATTTATTATATCTATTAGTATATGGTATAATTTAAAGTATAACAATTTTAATTTTTCATATATTTTCATACATATTATAATTTTTTTATATACATATATTTAAATGCAATATGTGCGTATGTACATTTTTTTTTAACAAATTACATATTATTAAATTATTATCACAGTTATTAATATATATTATATTAAAATCACACTTAATACGTACATAATGTATATATTATGTATGTACATACATTAAGATGTTGATATTTTTGAGAAGAAAGCATGCAATGCACATTTATATTATGTACTCGTATATACATATAACAAAAATAATATTTTATATATGTATACATATGTATGTATGAATACATAATATAAAGAAAAAATTAACTAAATTTTCTGATGAAATATTTTTCATCAAAGAAAAATAAGTAATCATTTTTCTTGTATTGCTGTTATTTTTTATGATTCCTTTGAAAGTAATTTTTTGCTTTCTTTTTTTCAATTTCTTAAAGGAAGTAATATGTATAATTATGTTTGGTTGGCTATTTACTAATATGTATACTATAGTTGTGCGTACATACATATAAGAATAATTATGTACACCATAAAATAACGAAACAATATGTAATTTATGAAAGAAAAGAAATTTACATAATATATACATGTACAAATTACATATTTGGACATACATTATGTATTTTTTCTCTTAAATTTAAACTTCAAGATACATTCTAATATATATATATTACTTATCTATGTAGTTATTCATAAATTTTTTTTACATTAATTAATTTTTCAGAATACAAAGTAATATTATAAATATGCACAACATAGATAATCACATAATAATTATAAATATCAACATAAAACAACATACAATTTCACCTGGTGGAGAATTTTTCAATAAAATTAAAAAATTTTCATCAAATAAAAAGAAAATAATGCAAGTGGAAAAAAATTTATTATAATACTTACTACATATTATACAGTAACTATAATAAAAGGATAACTAGAGTTTAAAAACAAAATATAAAAAAAAAAACTTTTTACATTTTAAATTACTTACATATATAAAATATTAAAATTATAAATAATAAATAAAAAGGGGAAATATTTTATAATATAAAAACTTTAATACAAAAATTAATAAAATATAAAGATAGTGAATTAAAATAACAAAAATAAATCAAGCAAGAAAATAATTTGTGTTTTTATAAATTCATAAAACAATGAAATTAAAATAATAAAAAAAAATTAATAATAAATATATACTTAAATACATAAAAATACCTACCTACATACACAAAGAAAATATTAATAAAATTTAATTTCATTATTAAACTTAAATGTTTCTTTTTTTTAAATAAAAACAATTAAACAATTTTAATGTTAATTGTGAAGAAAAAAATTGTATTTTGAGTAATAAAATTTGATTATAATTTTGACTTAAGTAAAAAACGAAAAATCATTGTTTTTTTATACATTTATTATTTTTTGTTTTGTTATTTAATATTTTTTTTTTTTGGTTAATTAAATGTTATAACAATAGAAGAAAACAAAAAAAAAATCTATATTAAAAGCAGAGGAAGCACTTAGAAACAGTGAAATCTTTTTTTTTTATTTTTCGGGAAACATTTTTTTTCATTTCTAGTAAATAAACAAAATTTAAAAATCGAAAAGAAAAAAATTATGTATAAGTAAACCAAATTAAAAAAAAGAAAGAGAAACAGCCATAATTATAAATTTTGTGTTCTTGTTTTATTATAAATATTCAAATGTATTCATAAGCATATAAACATATACATACTCGTATAATGTAATATATACCTAATTAAAATTTGGTATCTATACATTTGGTATAATTATAAAAGTACCTCTCCAATACCTACCTACAATATATTAATTAATATACTTATAATAAATTAGTTTAGAAAAAAAAAAATAAAAATTATTTTTCAATAATGAAACAACAACAAGTCAAATAAATATTCAATTATATAAAATAATAGAACGTTTAAAATAACGGTACAGTAAAGATCATAATTTAAAATTGAAAAGAAGGATAAGAAAAATAACATAAAAAAAAAACAAATTTTCACAATTTTATAAAAAGAAAAGAACAAAAATTAATTTCATATTTTATAATAAGTGCATAAATAAATTTTATTTTAGTGCTTTTTTTTTTTATTTACAATATAACTATAAAATATACAAATTTAATTAAAAAAATTAAAAAAAAAAAAAAAAATTAAAAACAAAATGCCTGAATCCGATTTTGATATGATTACAAAAGATAATTTACAAATGGAATTACGTTCGGGTTGTAAAAATTTAATAATATTAGATTGTCGTAGCTCAAATGAATATATGGAATGTCATATTAGATCTGCTGTTAATTTTTCAATACCAACAATAATGTTAAGACGTTTATCAGCTGGTAAAATTGATTTATTATCAACAATTAAATCAAAAGAATTAAAAGAACGTTTTGAATTAAATTATAAATTAGCATTATTTGTATTATATAATGATAATTGTTATAAAATTAATAATAATAAAAATAATATAATACATCAACAACAACAACAAAATAATAACAGCAGTATTAATAATATTAGTAATAATAGTTGTAGTAATAATGATACATCATTATCATCATCATCATCATTATTATTAGATAGTCAAAATATATTAGGTATAACAACAGATACATTATTATTACCATCATCTACATCATCATCATCATCATCAACATTAAGAAATCAAATCGAAGAAAATATTACTGATAATAATGATAGTAATGATCAAAATAGTTGCATTAATAATAGTATTGGTGATAATAATATTATTGGAGGACAACAACAAAATATAATATTATCATCATCGTCATCATCATCAGTAATAGGATCAGGAGTTGGAGGAGGAGGAGGAGGAGGAGGAATTACATCAACAACAACACAAAGTACAATTAATGTTTTACATAAAAGATTAAAACAAGATGGTTGTAAAGTTGTCTGTCTTGAAGGTATATACATATATATTTAATACATACTTTTTTTCTAATATTGTATTTTATATTTTAAAAAAATAATATTGAATATTTTTATAATGAATTACTTGTAGTTTATACATACATATATGTATATTTACCTACACACATAAATTCATTCACAATAATTATAGATATAGTATACCCATTTATTTATGTATGTATAAAAATATATTTCATAAAACACAATTTTATTTCTAAAAAAAAAAAAAAAAATCATCAAATAAAAATGAACTATGAATATTGAACAAGAGATTTCCGAAGCACAAGTAAAAAAAAAAGAGAAATAGCAACATGAAAGGAAACGTTTTTTAATTTTTATTATAACTTTTTTTTTTCTGTGTGTTTCGCCTCGTATGATTTTTTTTTTTATAATAAAACAAAATTTTAACCGGAAGTGTGTATAATAAGAATAACAAACAAAACAGTAGGGAAAAAAAGCGATTTTTTTTAGTGCATTTCCTGTGTATTTTATGAATATGTTCACAATAATATTTATATACATATATATATACATATATGTACATCGCACCATTAAAAATACGCTAAATGAAAAAAAAATATTTATATACACACATACACATGTAGGGGGGAAAAAAGTAAAAAGGCGAAAAAATTCTAAGCGGAAAATTTATTTATTCAACGCGATTTTTTTTTTTTAGCTTTGAAACTTTTATTTTTTCTCTCTATTTACATATTTTTTTCTTCTTCTTTCCATTTTTCACTTTATTGTAAATAGCACACATGCTGAACGCATTCTATATTACTTATATTTGAAATTCATAAAAGTTTAAAACTATTTTCTATTGATCAATCGGAACGTCTGTCAAAGTCAAATAAAAAGAAAAAAATAAAATAAACCGTTTTGTTTTAAGAATAATTTTCGCATAGTAATGAAATTGTATAACTTAATTATTTAAGTATATATGCATAATATACTTGCATACGGTTATACAATTTGTATACTAATAATAGTAAAGGAAATTGAATAAAGCTTAAATAGGATGCTTAATTAAAATAGTCTAATTGCAAAGCTTTCCTTTTAAAGAATCTTACAATTAGGTTCGTTTTTTTTTTATTTGTTTTCAATTTCCTTAAGAAAAATTTTAATTTGGTTTACTATAACGATACGTAATCTACTATATTTATAAGTACGTATACTAAAAACTCATGTAGATGCTTATTCATTTTTCTGGGTGTAGATATACATACATATATTATGTTTAAATGTGTAGTTAATTATTAAATACTTACTGAATCATTATAAAAATTATAATAAGTATTTAATTATTATTCACTTTAAATTTATTATACTTATACAAATTTAATTTTATTAATTTTATATTTACGTTTATGATCTAATTTTATTGTTGAAATTGTGAATGAATAATAATTTAATTTAATTCGCAATAGTAATGTACTTAAATAAAATTTAAATTTACATACTTATATGTACACATATGTATGAATGTATGTATGCATGTATATTTTACTTTATTGCACTATAAATTGGTACTTATTATTCTAGTACTAATCGGTACTAATCATATTTCTGAATGTATGACGTAATAATTAAATTAAAAAATTTTAATAGTTTTTAATAAATGCTCATTAAGTTTTTTTAATAATTATAAATAATGTTTATTTTAACGGCATTTCCGCATAATTTTTATTATACTAAAATACGTGATCATTTATTTTATATTAATTATGGCTTAGAAATATTTTCAAATTGGTAATTTATAGATGAGTATACACATCATAAGTAATAATTGTATAAAACTGCTTCAGAAATTGTAATTGTACTTATAATTTATTAACAATTGTAGTATTCACTACAGTGATGTCGTAAGATGTATACATTTTCTTATAAGAAAATATGTCTGTTTGTCTATCTATACCATAAATAATTTAAAAATTCATTGAGATATCAAGCTGAATATCGTTGATAATTTTATGATTTTAAACTTAATTAAATATTATTCAATTTCAAAAATGCAATTATGTTAAAATATATTCATTGACACAATAAATGTGGAGAATATGAGTTTTACTCAATCAAATTTAGTGATAAAGTACTTAAGAATCGAAAAAAATTTTACTTGCGATTGTAAGTAATAATAAAAATTTCTTATGGTTATATTTAATCGGAAAATCCCAATTTTCATTAAATTCAATTAATATTTTATACATAGTATATTTAACTAATTATACAAAACTATATTTAGCTAGGTAATGAATATTTAATCTATAAAAAGAATAACTTGACTTTGATAAGAATTTCCTCGATAAGAATAAGAACAAATCCATTAAAAAATAAGTAACAGCAAGCTCTTTTATAAGATATATTGATAAAAAATTGTATTCTGTAACCATTAATGGTAATAAAATTTATATAAATTTGCAATTAATATTATAAGCAGGCAGAATTATCTTTCATGGAATTTTTTGACAGAATGAATTTGATTTGTGTTCTTAATTAGAGTATCTATTAATAACGGTTAAAAATTTCTCTCATTATTTGATTGTAATTTACAAAAGTCATATTTTACTCTAAATTGAATCTAAAAGATATTGTATGTTAATTTACGTACATATTTATGTGAAATTGTTTACGTTGTATTTTTTCATATGTCAATACAAGAACCTGTTAATTCCTTCCTATACTTAATTATAAAATAATTAAGTACTTTATTTTTATATTTTTCTGTGGATTTATTACAAAATATAGAAAGCAATAAATGCCTTTAACAGTAGTTTTCAATGTGAATTGGAAAACACACAAAAAAGTAATTTAGGCAACCAGAATTACGAAAAAATATTTTTATTATATGAATGATTTTTTTTTGTTTTTTTTTTTTACCGTCTATTGAATGAACCTTTTTTTTTCAATGAATTAAAAATATTATTTTTTTCATTCTTTTTCATTCATATTCTTCTTGTTTTTTTCTTCTTGTCTCTGTTTTAAGTCAATGCACATTTACTATGAGAATAGATAAAAAGTTGAAACATTTCTGTATATTGTGTAGTGTATACAGATAAAAGAAACTTAAATATACATATACAAGTAACTATAATTTTTTGAGTTATTGAATAATTGAAATTAGAAAATAAGATCAACAACCTTGGGGTCTTGTTTTTTCTTTATCTATTTTTTGCGTTTTTGAGTTCATTACAATTTACTTTTACTTTAACAGAACTCTCTTTAGTATATAATATATAATAATAAATTCCGTTACGTCTACGATAATTGCCAAATGCAAGCAATCTAATTATAATTACTTATTCATGATTAATCAGTATATAAATAAATTAATGCCAAATTTTAGTTTACAAAAGTATATAATTTTAATTAACTTCAGCTTTTTAATATAACATACATATAAATTTTGTGTAATCACTAATCATTTATGAAATACTTAACAAACGGTTTTACATAAATAAGAACTGTCAATGTCATAACACGCTATATTTTAGTAATACTAACATTGACACCACAAGAAAAACGCTTCACATGAGCTATTGTGAATTAATTACTTATTTCGGGTATATTTCAAATTGCATACTTAACTGAGGCTGAATTATTTTTGACAAATGCACAATTTATGATTAACTTACGACAGACTACCATTTGTGATTAGACTTACGACAATATAAATTTCATAAATTGACATTTTTTAAATATTATCTTTTATTAAAACATATTTAATTTTTTGTATAATTTGAAAATTCTATATGTATAATTTACATATGTTCATAACGTGTAAGTATATGCTTATACATATTTAATTAAAAACATTTTATACAAAATATATAAGTAAGTAAAAATATTTTATTTAAAATTCAATATATAGAGGAGCTAGTTACATATTTGCTACTTATTTATTATTAATGATTTAATAATAAAATATATACATAGTCCAATATAAAATAGTACATAATATAATATATATATACATAATTATTTAGATACTTACAAAATAACATTATTCCCGTTTTCGATTTTGATCAATTAAAATTTGTATAATTATGGTAAATTAAAAATATTATAAAAATTTCAAAAATTTTATAAATTTCTTTTAAACTATCATATACTATGCATTTTTATCTTAATATACTTACACATATTATATTTTATTTCCTTTATATAAGTAAAAGTATCGCATCATCATTTTAGATTTTCTTAAGTTCCTTTAAATATACATATATGTACATACTTATAACAATATTCATTCAAGAGTTACTCATTTGCATTGTCTTTTCCGGTTACAATTAATTTAAAAATATTTATGACTCATTAAATTTATTTATTTTTTCCTTTTCATTATATACATATATATATATACATATGTATATATACACATATATGTACATACATATAAGAGCGAAATGTAATATATTTAATACGTTATATAATAATATACTTATATACATACATAGTTAAAGATAATGAGTATATTTTGTATAATTTGATTTAATTGTCAATTACGTTTATTATTACGTTATTGTGCAACAATTGAATATTTAAGTGGCAATATAGTCTGCAATTTGCACTATTTTATTATCTATATCATGTTTTATGTGAAAATGTATGTAAATATATAATTTATATTATATTTAAGTAGTACATATATATATATATTTTGGCATACAAGTGAATAAACAGGCATTCTCATCTTAATATTTTTTCTATGACATATTAACGGTGACCTAATCATTAGAGTTCTATGACGAATCTTGTATATATATGTTTTCTGATAATCAATAAATTTTATACACTTATAAGACTAGAAAGTAACAACATGTTACTTAATTATTAATTTATTATTATAGATGTTTTTTATATAATTCAGAAGAGTATACTTTTAACTTTTTAAGATATTTATGTGTTGTATATTTATCGTATATTATTGAAGACTATTGAAACTTACCTCAGAATTCAATTATGTATCTATATACGAGTATATATAAAATAAAGTGCGTAAATTTTACGGCAGCAAAGATTAGTAATCAAAACTAAAATCATTAAATCATGAAACCTTTGAAAAATGTATTTTTTTTTACTTACGTATGTAAATATGCAAATGAGATCGCAAATACCTACACATATTTGTACAATAAATTCATTTTTTTCCATTTTGGCGATATTTAGATATGCGATGTGTTATTTTTCTTTTCTTTTTTCGTCTTATCTTATTAATTTTCCTTAGAAAAAATGAATTTTGTGTAGGCGATTTTCAGGGAAAAATTAACTAAGGGGTCAGATACAAAAAAAAAACCTTTTATGAAATTTTTTTTGGAAATTAATTGTTTTTTTTTTTTTCTTAAATTTTTAAAACGTGTAACTTTCATACTCTTTATAAAACTAAAAAAAAAAATTTTGAGTTTATTTCTTTGAAAAATAATTATTATTTTAGCAGATAAGTGGGATGATAATAAAAAAGTACCCATTGCATTCCGTATTGATTTTTTATATTTCAATAAATGCATAGGTAGTTAAAAATATCAACGGTTTTAAAAAATTTCATTCTAAAACTCGTACACTTTCTATATTTTTAATGTTTTTTAAATATTTTAAATAAATTTTCTTATTTGATTTAATAATATTTTTCTTCTGTCTTGTTTTTCTAGACGGTTTTACAAATTTTCGGAATGCATTTCCAGAATGGTGTGAAGATGATGGCTTTCAAATTCAGGATAGAAATGAATCTAGTCTTACTCCGTGTATCATTGGTGCAATTGATGGTCAAGCACAAACTGAACAACTAATGGGATTAAGGTAGTTTTTCTTTAAAAATAAATTACCTTTCTTTTAAGTTTTAATTTTAAAATTCGAATGATTTACTTACATTTTAATAATAAAAAATATTTCTAAAAAATATTTTTAAATTATTCTTTAATAATTTTATTTATTATTTTTAGATCTCTTCGTATTTCTACCCCACATTCCGATTCAGCATGTAGTAGTTCAGCTGAATCATCTGATTGTGAAAGTACAACGTATCCGAATTTCAATGACGAACCAGTTGAAATTGTTTCAGGACTATTTCTTGGGAATGCTTCGCATAGTAGTGATTCGGATGCATTAAAAAAATATAATATTAAGGTAAATAAAATAATTTTTTTTTCAGTTGTTTTATATTTAAAATAATAAAAAAAAATTAAAATAAATTTTATATTTATAAAATTTTTTTTTAGTATGTTCTAAACGTTACCCCAGATCTTCCAAATGTTTTTGAAGCTTCCGGTGGAATTAAATATTTACAAATTCCAATAACTGATCATTATTCACAAGATTTAGCTGTACATTTCCCCGTTGCCATACAATTTATAGGTAAATTTTATAGATCTTTTAAAAGGAAAATATATTTAGTAATTAAAAACACAGGAAAGAATGCTGTTTGCATTGTTAAGGCAATGTTTATCTATAATCTATGTATGTATAATTATACATTTTGTAATTTCACTAAAATGTGTACGTATATACATATATTGTTCTTTGTAAACAGTAACTTTGTTTTTATAAAATTTATTTAAAATTTTTCATTCCTTGAAATTTTCTAAGAAAGGAAATTTTTAGAATTCGTTGCTTTTATAGTTTACTGTATAAATTTTTTCCTTTATAAAACATTTTTACTTATTTCACCTTAAAATATTTTCGAAAATAAAATTTTTTATGGTAATTACTGATTATTTAGAATGAATATTTATTTCAATTTGCTTGTTTTTTTTTCTTGTAGATGAAGCACAAGCAAAAGATTCTGCGGTGCTAGTTCACTGTCTTGCAGGTGTATCACGTTCTGTAACAATAACGTTAGCATATTTAATGAGTACAAGAAATTTAACTTTAAATCAAGCATTTAATTTAGTTCGGGATCGTAAACCAGATGTATCACCGAATTTTCATTTTATGGAGCAATTACATTCATTTGAAAGGCAATTACAATTACGTAGTGATATTGAAAATAATGAAAATACAAGTGAATCAATTCATCATCATTATCATCATCATCATCGCCATCATATAATACCATCAACATCAAGGGATACTGGTATTATGTTAACCGAAGAAGAAGAAGAAGACTGTCGCACTACATTTGGTGGAAATAACGAAAAAATTTCCAAAAATTATTTATGCACATGTATAACAACAACATCAGCATCATCATCATCATCACCTTCGTCATCATCACATTTATCATCGTCTACAATTAATAATTGTAAATGTAATTTGAATACAACGGCAACTACAAATTTTTTAGCAAGTACTAATGTTATGGCATCAAAATTAAAAGCAACCGGTGTTTCACCCGATTCCGGTATTGAATTTGATCGATGGGCCCCATCATCGGATGGTGGCTTAAAATGAGATCAACTTGTAGGAAAAAGCTTTATTTTACCGCCCATCTGTGATTTAACAGATGAAGAACCAAAAATTGAACAGAAACAATTAACAAAACAAAAGCAGTAAAATAAAAGATTTTTTCCTACATGTTCAGAAAATAACTATATATATAAAAAAAAACCTATATTAAATTAAAAAAAGGACATAATATATATATATATATATATTTTAAATCAGTAAAGAGAAAAATATATGTATGGATATGTATGTATGAATGTATAATTTCATGCATATACTTATAAGAATAAAAAAATTTATATAGGATGAAGAATGAAAAATACAAAAAAAAAAACAAACTGTGGCAATTTTTTTTAAATAAATAATGTATTTGCAAATTAGGATTATATATTTTTAAATGGCAATTTATATAAAGATTTAAAAAGAAAAATCTATTCAGTTTTTTTATTAAATAATAAAATTCCAGTCACTAATATTTGTATATACATCCCCATATATAGGAAAAATCTTTTTAAACAGAGTGAAGTTCAATTAATTACTATATATACTTAGGTAATGGTTGCAAATGTGTGATACATTCATAACATAATTGCTAAAATTTTATTTTTTGTTTTAAAAAGATTAATTGGTAGATATAATAAGACTCATATGGCCAAACTTTTAGAAATATAAAATCTAAAAGTTCTAACTTAAACTTGAAATCTTTTTTTCAATTATATATTTAATATTTTTATTTAAAAATTCAAATACTAATGAAAAGTACTTCTTCCAAATGACTAGAATAAATGTTGAAAAATTTATTTTCTTTATATTCTTTTGGAAACAATAAATTTCGATCTTGTTAACAGTATGAAATAAAAAAATTCTGAAGAAACAAATTGTTTATTGTATCATACATTTGTAAGGTTATTTTTTAATCAAATGTAGTAAATTTAAAATTACAAGATCGCCACATTTATAATTGTACACTACACAAAAATTTTAATTATAAAGAACTGATTTATCTTGAGCCGGGTTTTAAGCTGAATTTTAATTAACGAAAAATGTTCTTTTTTTGGAAAAAAAAAATAATGTTATTTATGTTTATTATAATATAAAAAAAATAGTTAAATAAAATCATATTTTAAATGAGGTTAAGAACCGAAGCCATTTTTTTTAGTCTCTTAAAAATAAATTTAAAACAAAATATTTCAAATAAATTTAATATAAGAATATAAGTAAATGATATTGAAACAAATCTAAATGAATAAACGCTATTGAATCAAATCTAAAAATATTTGAATAATTTAAATTAACAATTTAAATTTATAAAATTAATTGATTCATTAAATAAAAAATTAATAAGAAAATACCTAATAAATAGTAAAATAATATAAAAAATTATATTCAAATAAAATATTAAATAATATTAAAATTAAATATCAAATACATAAATACAAATTATTAAATTAATTAGTAAAAATAAACGAAATAAAAAAATAAATGAAGCTATCATTCCCTAATGATGACATTCCCTCCGTATTTTTTTCTTTTATTGGAAATATAAACAATATTATAATTAAAAATTAAATAATTTATATAAAGAAATTATTAAAAATACAAAAAAAAAACAAAACTTTTTACTAAAATTTGCTTAAATTTTTAAAGCATAATTTACAAAAGAAAAAAAATAACTAAATAAATATATAAATGTAACGTATTATTATATTACCGAATTAAAAATATTTAAAGTGTATGTTGGAAACCAACAAAATATTAAAAAGAAAAAAACAAAAAGAAGAAAACTGAAATAAAAAACACTTTCATTTTTATTTTCATAAATTTAAAGATAATTAAAAACTAAAAAAGGAAAAAAACCAAGACTCTACAAACTATTTTAAAATTATAATATTAATAAAAAAAAATTAATGTAAGCTTATTATAAAATTATTCAAAATATTTGATTTAAAAAAAAAACAAAAAAGAAGTTAGAAAAAAAAAATATGTATTTTAAAATTAAATAAGACCCCTTTTAAAAAGTGTTTTTACTGCCCCAAAAAATTTTATAAACGTATTAAATGAAGTGCCAAATTGCTATCTTATATTGCTAAATTGAATTTAATTCATTGTTATATTCACCAAAATTAAATATAAATTAATTTCTTCTTCAATTATTAAATGTCGTCTTTTAATACATTTAAAATAATTAATTAATAAATATGAAAATCAATTGTAAACATTATTTAATATTCGTCATATCTAAATATTATATAAAAATAATATAAGCAACTATTGTTAATTATAATTGATTATCCAGGCCAATCATTATGAAGATCTCATCATTTTTATGTGACCAATTTTGTTCTCTATGTCGCAACTCTAAAAACAATAAAATTCATTTGACTTTTATTTAATAAAGGCAATTGTTTTAGTTTTTTTTTTTTACATTAGCAAAAAACAAGATCTTATGTAAAATATTCAATAAATAATTTTTTATGTTTTCTAAATATAACTCATGTTTTCCCAGAAAAAGATAGAAAAAATAATAAATGCATTTGCAATATTAGGAAATAACTTGGTTATTTTGTAAAAATTACACATTTTCTTAAGTTGGCCTGAATAAATTTGTTTTCCCCAATTAAGAATATTAACAAATCTTCCATTTTGAATAAATTTTTCAAATACATTATTTAAATATATGGATATAAAATTTTATAAAAATCGTTTAAAATCGTTTTAGATAATATATTATTTAATTAAATGAAAAAAAGAAGAATAATTTTATATGAAATGCTAATTTAATACTTATTGCAATATTCTTTTATGTCTTAAAAAATATTTTATGTATATAAAATGTGTTTAAAATATAGATTTTTAACAATTTTAAATTACCTCCCTAGTTTTAAATATGTTTTTATTTTTTTTTTGAAAATTTATGTAAATATTTTAACAATAATATGTACATATTTATTTTTGAAATAAAATTTTATTATAAATTTTAATATTTTTAAACAGGAAAAATTTTAGTGTGAATAAAAATTGGAAAAAAAATATCAATATTATTTGTTATACATAAATATAAAATTAATTTAATAAATTAAAAAATATATTAAATGTACATTATAAAACTAACACGATGACATTTCTATTATATTGTATTTGGCACTTATATGATATTATAATAACATGTTTTTTTTTTTATATAAAGTATAAAATTGTTATTGAGAATTCAAAAAAAAAAAATGTTAATACTAAATTTATGGTGAATCTTATGGAATAATTAATATTCATGATAAACTATTATGTCATTATGTTAAATTTCAAAAATTGAATTTTAATATTGGCCTTCAAAATACAAAAAAAAAAGTATCAGATAAATGGCTAATATTTTAAATATAATTTTCAAATTCTTCATATACATATTTATTGTAACATAATGAGTATTGAAATTATACAATTTCTTTCTATTAAAAAAAAAGTATATGATTGAAAAAAACAAAAGATATTGTATTTTATATGTAGACCTAATCTACATAATTGATTAAATTCAATTTATATAAGAACACGTCCCCTAATCAGGTTGTAATGATATGATAAAAAAAAAAAACAAAAAAATTAATATTAAATAAATTTTGAAGACTTATATAAAATTGTTAGTTATTAAAATCTCTAAGTTCCAAAACTCTTCTACTTTATAGCAATTTTTATTGCTTAACTATTTTATTTCATAATATTTAAATTTTTTCAAATAATTTTATTATTTGAATATGCTTTTCGCTAATCATTAAAATTCATATAATTTTTTTTATTTGAAAGAACATTGCTTGTTTAATTTTAAAGGATTTCCTTAATATTTCATTATTCTTTATTTGTTTATATCTTTATCTTTTTAATTAATTAACTATAATATAAATATTTGATGCCTAATTAACGTTTCTAATTAATTGAATTTTAATATTAAAAATAAGACTGTTGATTTATTGAAATTTTTTTTGTTATTATTAAAATTAAATTTTGTTACACTTAATAAATTTTTTTTTTTTTTTTTTGGAATTAGATGTCATGCTGTGAATTGAAAATAACTAAAACAAAATATTAAAATTTAACGACATAAAAATATTTTGGTTTGTAGAGTTGACAAAAAAAAAAAAAGAAATTTAAATTTAAAGTAAAAAATAATTGGAATATAAATTTTAAAACTAAAAGAAACTAAAAGAAATTAACAAATAAATTTCATAAAAATAAACAAAACAATTTTTAAAACACAAAAAAAAAAACAAACAAAACATAAGAAGCGGAAGCAAATAAAAATTGTAGTTAGTTTTATAGAAAATTTTAATATCGTTTAAGATACAAAAAAAAAGCAAAATAAAAAAAAGCAAATTAATTAAAAAAAAAGGTTATATTTGTTAAATAATGTTTAAATTTTTCGAAAGTTAAAAATATTTGATATATATCTATATTATATATATATGTATGTACATATATGTATACATTATGTATAATTATATAAAATATAAATATATATATATATATATATATATATATATGTACACTTATAATATGTATGTACATTGATGTTCTGTATTTACAATTATAATGCCTGTTAAATAATAAAAAAAAAGTATTTGTTTTTAATTTTTGGTTTATATTTATTTTCCTTTTTCAAGCTTTATTAAATATACCATATGTAAAACAAAAACAAAAAAAAAAAAAATTACAAAATATTAAAAACTCATTTTAAAAAACAAAATTAAAAAATAAAATTAAGGTAATATTGTGGAAGTAAAAATTTTATTAACCACTTAAAAATATTAAACAAAAATTTTTGTACATATTATAAAAAACTGTTCAAATTGAAAAAGAAAAAAAAGGATATTTTATATCCTGTCCTATATTTTAAATAAAAACTGTGCTATGTTTAACATACGTCTATAGTAGAGACGAGGATATTGTAGACGGCAACATGGTGTTAACCCGATTGTGGTAAAATTATGCTTTAGTCTGATATAGTAAATGATTGCTTTAATATGATTTTTTTGTTTTTTTTTTTTTAATTTAAGCAGCTTGAGTGGCAAAAATTAACTTTTCAATTTATTTGCTATTTCGACCTACATATTTAGTTATTTTAGATTTCAAAATTTTATTTAAAAATGTTTTTTTTTATAAAAGCAATTCTTTTTTCTGCCAGAAGAATCAAAAAAGGATTCTGCTTATTATAAGTGGAATTAAATAACATTTATAAAATTTTTTTATGTAATGTTTTAATGAAAGTTAATTACTTAATAATGAAAAATTTAAATTTACAACAAATTTGCATATCTAGTAGCTCTCTGACTTTAAATAAAATAAGTACCCGGAAGTTATTGCGCTTGCTATAACATAATTATTATAAAACATATACATAAGTATGTATATATGAACGTACTACACTTTATATAACAATTTATACTCAATCGAAATATATTGACTTTGAATAACGATCAGTAGTAGCAGCAAATTTCAAAATAAAAATTTATGTACTTGGATTATTGTATGTATATTGTAAAATTTTATTATTATATGTAATAGAAAATTTATTTTACAATTAACAAATAAAATATTTTGATTAAGTCCAAATTAACTTCCATAACAGAGCTTTAGATTTAAAAATATTGTTCGATAATATTGTTTTCCTTACTATATTATTTAATCTATATTTAAATTAATTAAAGTTACCATAATTTAATCATTAAGTAAATCTTCCACTAGCAAAATACATAATTTTTTTTTACACTTTGAATATAAAAAAAGTACCAAAACTTAGTTTTTAAAATAGTTTTTTAAAAACCTTATGATTGTTTGTACTCATTTCTGCCATTAGTAACTATGAACTTTTGCTTCGTTCTATTACTAATGCGCATATGTTTAAAAAAATATAATGTATAGTTTTTCAAAGAAGTGATTTGCATTTATTAACATTTATTCTTTTTTATTTGTAGGTTGTCTTATAAGAAAGGGGTTAAGGTATTTATATATATATAAATATTTTATACTAATGAGCCAAATGTAACTGGTATGATATCCTCATCTTTATCTCTTGTAATTTGGACTTGTATTTAGTGATTAGGTTTTCTGCTTCTTTTTTTTTTTTTGCATTAAATTCTGTTGTCGAACACATTTAACAATTTATATGAAACAATGGTTTCTAATATTTCTTTAAAAATATTGATTTTGTCTTTGATTTTTATTTGTTTGCTTTTTAGACAAGGTTTCAGAAATTCCAAAAATTAATTTATTCTTACTATAGGGGTATACTTTTTTATATTCTTAATAATCAAAATGTATGAATGAAAGCACAAATGAATAATAATGGACTATTTGAATGTAAAAAAAAAAAAAAATGATAAGAAAAATTTTTCGCAAGGCTGCTTATATTAAGAGATCTTTGCGATGAAAATCAATTTATATAGCTGTCCGAAAAAATACTTTTGTACTTGTTTTTTTTTTCTTTTTAGATGTAAAATTTCGCAATGCTTCATAAACTTACCGCTGTTTTAAAGATTCTAATTCAATGACAAAAACTTAAAAACTTAAATTTTTCGAACAAAAACAAAAAAAAATTGAATTTAATTGTTATTTTTAATTTAATTGTTTCACCAACATAATATTTACATAACATGTTTTTTCATCAACGAATTTTTTCAATAATTTAAAATAATTTTTTTAATAAATATGCAATTTCTTTTATTATTGTGAAAAAAGAAAAATTATATAAAAAGAAAAAAAAGTTGTATATTTTTTACTTTTGAAATATTCTAAAAAAAAATTGAAAATTAAACAAAAAGTTCAAATAATAAAGTTGTATAAAAAAAATCAAATATAGTAAATATTGTTATATTTGATTTTTATAAAAAAAAAAAAAGAAAAATAATTTAAGGAAAAATTAACTGGAATTACTTTGCGAAAAAAAATTATTAGATATCCCCCTGTAAATTACTAGTTCAAAAAAAAAAATTAAAAATATAAAAGAAATAGCATCTACAAAGTAAAAAATGAAAACGATAACTAAATAGAAATACACAAAAATAGAACTACATATTTTTCGAAAAATTTAAAAATAAAAATGAAAAACGAAATATTTTAATTAGAGTCTAAGAAGTTTTGTAACAAAAGAAAAAAAAATAAACACTAAAAATAAAAGGTAAAAATTTTAAATACAAGAAAAGTTTAATACAAAATACTTAAAAATTGTAAATTGCATAACAAAAAACAAAAATCCCAATTTGAAAAAAGCAAAACAGAATATTGAAAATTCAATTTTTTTAAAAATAAATAATAAAACGTGAACTACTAAAAAACAAACAAAATTTCATACTAAAATAAAAAAAATGAAAAATTTTACACAATTTTAAAGCATAATGAAAAAAATTTTAATACAAAACATTTTTTTTTTTTGCTTTGCATCAATCCTATTGCCAATTTTTTTCGTAGAAAAAACGAAAAAAAAAAACATTTTGGAGTTAACTAAAATGTTAATTTTTTTGTAATTATAGAAAAAAAAATTACTACATTCATTGTTTAATTCAATAATCAAATATAACATTATTATTAATTAAAATAAAACTTAAATTCAGAAATTAAAAAAAATGTCATGATCCCACCCACATTATGTCTGTTACGTCACTTTCGTGGCAAAGAAATTTATCCAGTCGCGTCACCTCAAATATCTCTTTCTGGTAATGTTTTGTCGGCAGAAGATAGAGCAAAAATATGAGGATATTAAATAGAATAGGAAGGACTGGAAAAATAGAATATAGCGACGTTATTTGAGTATCCTGAAAAATCTTCGGCAATATCGGAATTGTTTACCATTAATTTTATTAGAAGCTCAAATTACTTATATTTGTTATTCTTTTTGTTCTGTAAAATACAAAAATCCTAATTATCATAATTAAAATTAATTTAAAAAATGTAAAATTAATTAAGTAATTTTTAAAACTATGAACTTTATCGATAGAAACTATTTTATTTTTGTTTGTATATTTAACTTAAAAAATCTTGGCGTGATGACCTATCGAGTGCATATATTAAGGTGATAAAAAATTACTGTCACGTCGTATGATTGTAATAAAAGTTTTACAGAAAGAGCACGCGTAATATTTTTGACTCCTGCCATTAAGTCAGAGTTGGTATCACTTAATTATCACGTTTGAACCTGCTAGAATAATATATAGACGTGTTAGTATCACTTCATGCGATTCGATTAACAGCACATGGCTAGATAATTAAAACAACATTAAAAATCCAGTACATACATATATTAAATTTTTATTATTTTCCCGCGCAGATGAAATTTACAAAATTGAAATGTGTAGGCCTATTTTCATGTTAGACATATAATTCGCCAGTTTTTAAGGGTTTAATACAGAAAATAATAGTTTATTTAAAAAATATAAATAGAAAATTTGTGTTACATGGTAATATTCAGTCGATTTAGGCCCTTATTATTCTCCCCCCATTATAAGTGACCGTGTGGACACAAAACAAATGATAAGCACATGATAGTAAACAATGAAAGTAGTATAAAATTAAATTAATTTGTATAATTTTTATAGCAGAAATCAGCAATAGAGATGTAGTAATTTTATTATAAATAATATAAAAAAAAAAAAGAAAGAAAAAAAATACAAAACCCGTTTTAAAGCAAAGCTTAAATAATTTTCAAGGAATTCAAACATATATTCCCATTTTGATAAAATAAGCTGTGTAATATTCAAAAAAATTTTATATTTACTAAATGAAAAAATAAAAACAGAAAAAAAAAAACAAAAAAAAATTTAAAAATACATATATAAATAAAATTTTGATGTTATATTTATATAAAAAATTAATTTCGTATTCATATATAAATCCATGTTAATTCTACATTTGAAAAAAGAAAAAAAAAGATAAAAAGTTTTTATATTGTTTTTTGCTTAAATAATTGTAAATATATAATTTGTTTCAATTAAATTGTTTTTTTTTCTTATCATATATTTAGAGTTCATAAGCTGACCTTGGTCCTTTTTTAGAAAATTATTATTTCTTGGAAATATTAGCATTTTATTCAACTTTTTATAAGAAAAGCGAGAGCTAATCATCTAATTATAATGAAAAATTATATGTTTTAAGAATATTATTAAGGCATTAGTAACACATTTTTTGCTGGGATGTCTTTTGTTCAAATATATTCTTATTAAGGCCCTTAGTTTATCATCCATTACCTATAAATATATTACCTATAAATCCATTACCTATTTAATTGTTGCTGTTATTTTGATTTTATAATTAAAAAAACTGCTATTTATTTATTCTATATTTTGTCGATTTATGTATGTACATTGGAAAGGTGATCATTTCTGAGATGAATTTCAAATTAAAATATAATGAATTTTGTCCAAATAAAACATTTTTTTTTTTCACACAACACAACGTTTTTTGTTGAATTTTATTGATTCTTATTTATTGTCCATTTGCTATTTAAATTTACTATGTAAATTTCTTTAATTTTTATTACGGAACTAATACTGTGACCTAAAATAAAGTATGATTTGGAAAAAAATTGACTAAATGCATAAAATAGTAACGTTAAATATTACAATATAGTAAATTATTCAAAAAAAGCTGTATATAAATATTTGTATATAAAATTAATAACTTAAAATATCTAGTCTTTGTTCGAAAACAAAAGATTGCTACTGTTTTGCTAATTAATAGCTACTTGCTTATTACATACATATGCTTCTATAAATTCACATATGTGAAAAAAAAACATAAATTGCTTTACAATCCCTTATTAAAGTAAACTTTTTCTGGTACATTTCCACTTGTATTTTTAACCATTTCATCATAAAATTCTGGTTCTATCAATTTAATAGTACTTGTGCGTAGAGAGCTACAAAATAAAATAAAAATTTAGAAAATTTTTATGTTTTTTTACATGATGCACTCAAAATTTACCATCTTTGTGGGTATATAGCGCAAGAGCTAGGTACCATAAACAACAAACTAGAAAGAAATAAATAAAGTAACTTTTGCAAACAAGCAACTAATTGAAAAAAAAAACAAAATTTACTTACAACATTCCTACTGCTATGGTTTGGAATGGAGCATGCAGACCCGTCATTCTCTTAAATCCCGGATATTTTTCCAACCTTTCCATAATTATTGGTAAAACTAACATACCTGGAGCTGCCATTGCTATACGAGCTTGAACAACTTGGAAAATACCTTTTACAGCAGCAACACGACTTTTGCCAACAGTATTTCCGTTGTGATCTTCAACATCTATTCCATTAATAATTTCATTCTGTCTCATTAAAGGTATATTAACACAATTTGCGGCAGCAACAGCAGTAAAAGGAACATAACGCTAAACATAAGATATATTTATTATACATATATTTTTACAGAAAAAATATAAAAAGCTTACTTGCAGCAAGGGAGATGCTCGTTTCATAACAAAATTTTTAAAACCAATTGCAGTAGCTACTGCTGCTGATGTTGCTGATAAATATGCTCCTATTAACTGGTTAACAGTGGTTGGAGATTTTGCATTACGATTTGTATAATTAACAACAGCGTTAAAAGATTGATTAACAAATTGCCAAAATACAACAGCGCCTGTGGTACGATAAAATGATAACATGGCACCAGTTATCAACATACCTCCGGGAACCTATTATTAATGTTGTAGATTTATTAAAATTATATATCTAAGAAAAGAATTCTAGTATTATAAAATTTTACCTGAAAACTCATTCTACCAGTAAAATTTTGTAATTCCCCTGTATCTGGATGGAAAGCTGATTTATAAAGTTTCATAGCGTATACGACATCTTCTCTCTTAGTTGTGCTTGGTTCTTGACCTTTTCTATATTTGTCTAAGAGTTCTTTTGCTTCCAGTAACTGAGAACTAAAAATTTAGTAATTTAAATATTGAAAATATTTGCTTATAATTTTAATATACAACTCTAAAAATTCATCAATATGCTTATATTTCCCTCATTTGACTAGGAATCTTTTTAAATCGTTCATTATTTTAAAATATTTGGCTGAAAGTAAGTGTTTCGTTTGACCGATTAGACAAATTAGACAAACCATATATGTAAGTATAAACATAATAAACAATTTCTTCAATTTCAAAATGAAATTTAGAATACAGATCAGATCTTAAGAATTTAGAAATCAGATTGAGTTTTCTTCTGAAATTAAGTTTTTAAGGTTATAAGTAATCGATTTTTTTAATAAACTAGGTAGGTACATAGATTTCCTTTTTACCTGCTGATTATATCCCATGCATGTACTTTGCATTATTTATGATCAAAAAATTTGACATTGCAATTTGAATAGCAAATGCAATACAAATAATTTTATTAGATAACTTTAAGACTTACGTTTGAGGAGACTGTAATTCAAAACCTTCTATATCTACTACTCTTCAAAACCTGCAAGATGATACTGATTACATTATGCAGTTATAATAATTTAAAAGATAACCAATTTTCATATAAGAAATACATTTTCTGAGATGAAATTGATTAAATTTAAAAAATGTGATATTGAAAAAAATTATTCAATTAAAAAACATTATTAAAATTTTATTAGAAACACAGAATCTGCTAATTTGTTTGCAATGCTTTTGTTAATCAAATGTTTTGTAATATTTTAATCTAATAGAATTAGACTATCTGTTTTTATTTTTCATTGATAAAATTATTTTACTATTTTAATTTCCTTACGTATACGAATATAATTTATATGTATGTATAACTACCCTATTTAAAGCATCTATGTAAACTTAGTACTATTACATATATACTTATATTCTTGAAATTAGATTGAAAGAGAATCTGCCTCTTTAAAATATAAAACTATTACACTACATCTTACCTATAGGTATTCAAAGAATTTTTATAAACTCAATTAAAAAAATTTAATACGACATATTCAGGGCATTTTATTGGCAATCAATTTAAAAACATAGGTATTTCCCTATTATAAAAATAAATAAAAATTAAAGACAGATGTTTAATATTCAAGGTAATAAAATAACAATCCGGTCATTCAATTCTATGATCTGACTAATTAAATAAATCATTTCATTTTCATTTTCGAGCACATATAACATTTAGGGTTCGTGTGTACGAGTGCTCGTATGTACATATGCATGTGGGTAGGTCTGTAGGTATAATTTTGCACCAACCTACTTATAAGTGTACATACGTTTTACGTAAATTTTATATAGATATAACACTCAACTTATATTATAGTACTACATGCATAAATTATATACCTACCTTGGTAATATGCAAGTTCTAGGATCAGTCATCCATGCAAAATAATTAAATCTACCAGTAAAAGTGTTCAAGTCCCATAATGGTTTATCGATTTCAATTCGACCTTAAAAATATAGTACATTGAAAAATAATATAATTATATATTATATATATAATATATAGGATGTATGATTAATGTAGGTTGTATTTATACATATATATAATTTTATTTATTGAAATGTATATTTTATTGAAACAACATTTAAATGTTAATAGACACTTGGTTATCAATATATGTATGAAATATATTTAATAGAATAAAAAATATTAAACCTGTCATTTTTAATATATTCTTGTATCGTTATTTTGTTATTGAACCCAATCTCGTTGCTAATTGCTAACTTTTTTTTTTCTTGTTTTTCGTATTTTTCCAAAGTTATCTCGATCACAATAAACCAAATATTATGCAATGAAAGATGATAATCACGTACGATCAGAAGATAATCACTACCTTCGAATATGTTTCATAAATGGAAATAATCCATTATTCTAATATTTAGTAAATCGAGAAATGACAGAAGGTAAATATTTATAATACTGGAGAAAAACTTTTTTTTGTTGCTGTTTAGTTAATTTATTCTATGTATGTACATACAAATTGAAAAGCTTATAGGAAGCAGTGGTGCAATTCTGAAATGTTTTGATGATATTTTGTTCTTTAATCTACTACCTTTCTTTGTACATACATGTTAAGATAACATAAGAAAAATAAATAAATAGAATAATCGAATAATATTTCCATTTACGTGTTAAAACTACCCATGAGTATCCTTAATATATACAACTCAGCTATTACAACACCTCATAATGTAAAATTGTGGATTGATACCTTATTTCTACAATTTTGGGGGGTATATATGCGAAATTCGTAAGTGGAATGGCCTTTTCCGATATACTTATGTGTAAAACATAACCTTAACTTTTTTGGTATAATCATTATTTTTTTCATAATTATAGCGTTTTTTATTATTCAAATGTCAATTTAATAAAAAAATAAGACATTTCAAATATTAAAATTAAATGCCAAAATAATTTCGAATATACTTTTGGATACCCTTTCGCTTTTACCTATTTCTGTTTTTACCTCCCTAGAAAAAAATAAAGTAACTGCACATTTGTTCGAATTAGTGTAGTTGTGTTCAGTTTTGGCTACTTATGAATAATTTGAACACATAAATGGAACGCAAATAATACAGAGAAAACTTTTTTAGCTACATACCATAATACGTTTTGAGATTTATCAACTATAATGTTAAAAATTATAAAATTATAAAAATTGTACTACATATTTCATGTGGAATTTCTAAGAGAATACTGATTATACGGCAACTCCTATAACAAATTTTTGACATTATTAAAGTGTCAAAAAATTAAACACAAATAATAAAAATATTGTAGGAAATAGGAATAATAAACAAATCAAATTAATTGGATTTTAAAATAAAAAATGTAAATTAAGCAAATTTAAATAACATTAAATTAACATAATTAAAAATCATTTTAAAATATTCAAAATTAAAGAACAATGTATTCACATATTTCGCATATTGACAATATGTGATAGTTAATCATTTACTGCAAAAAACTGAATTGATTTTTTTTCTTATTAAATTATCTTCGTTTCCATATAGATTTTATTCAATAGAATTTTATAATTTTTTTTAAGAAATTTTCTAAGTACATTTTTGTAAAATATCGAAACAAAAAACAGTAAAATATGAAGAATGAATATATTGTTAAACTTTTTATTCTAATTAAATTAATGACTATCGCTATACTGCCTGCTATTCAGAGTGCAAACATTTTAGCTATACTACCAAGCGTATGGAGATCACATTACATTTTTGGCTCAGCAATATTAGAAAAGTTATCATCGAATGGACACAATATAACTTTAATTACCAGCATAAATAATATAGAGCTACATCCAATAAAAAAGAATTATTTCAACAAGGAAATTATTGTACCCCATATTAGTCAAAATTGGATAGATTCTGGCTTGAGCTTTAATTTTGAAAATATCAAAAAAATTTCTATTTTAGAATACTTTACAAGAATGGTTTACGCATCAACGTCAAACATTGATATAATGTGTCTGAGAATAAATTTGATGTAATATTTGGTGACATATTTTTAGGAGATAATCATCTGGGGTTAGTAATGCTTTTAAATTTTTTTAATTTTTATACATAAATATTCTCATTTTGAAAAATTAATTATACCATTTTTTTTTAGTTTTACTCATCGATTCAAGTGTCCATTAGTCGTTATCAGTCCCACTGGAAATAATAGATGGATTGATGAAATGATTCGAAATCTTATTACAGCAGCCCGTAATCCAAGTAATTTTTTACCTTTAACAGAAGAAATGAACTTTTTCGAACGCACTCAAAATACTTTGATGAGCATATTTGAGAAATATATACTTTTGCTTGCTCTGCGTGAGAGAAAACAAGAAAAAAGGCTGGAAAAAAAGTGGTGGCAGGAACTCTTGCCTCAAGAAACATTTGCTTACAATACATAATATAAATGTAAATGTTCTTGATGCCATCACATTTAAAGACACAATCGAAGAAGATTTGGGCGAATTTGCCAATGTGTTTCTTAATTCTTCAACTCTTTCGTAAGTTCTCAATTTTTTTGAATATTTTAAAAACAAATTAAATAATTTTATAAATTTGTATACCGTTTAAGACCCCATTACCCAAATACTCCAGAAATGCCACGAAATATAAATTTTAGTAAGACTCCCTCACCAAAAGTGGCACAGATTGTTTCAGTACCACAAACGCCAGAACAACTCCCACAACAATATGAAAAGAGACAAGTCCACTCCACAGCACCAATAGCGGCCGAAAGCTCAAGAAGTAAAGAGGAGAAAATATTAAGAATCAAAAAATTCGAAGAGTATATGGTAGAAACAATGATTGCGAAAGATGTAAGTGCACTATAATGTAAATATTATTTTAGAAAAAAAAAATTATTTCAATATAATTTGTTTTGCAGATACCTGAGGCGAAACAAATAAAACTGGAATGTTCAATTTTGAAGCAGATTGCAGAAATTGAATAATAATGAATTAGGTGATTAATTTTTGAATAATATAAAATATTTACATTACAATAATTTAATTTTTGTTTTATTTTTAAGGACTACATGTGTAATGCATATTTTAAATTTAAAAAAAAAATTATTTTCTTAAACAAATTATTTATAAAATTTTTTGGATTTTTTAAAAATATAAAAAATAATTAAAAAAACAATTTTTTAATTTAAAAAATCTTTCAACTTAAAGTATGACTAATGAATGAAGAGTTTCGAAAAAAATTATATACTACAAACATATATGTACATACCTAACTAATTTACAATTACATATTATTAGACAAATTAGATTTATATAAACAAAATTTAATTAATAATTTATATGTATATAATTTAGTAAAACTTTATTATATGTTCTATATACTTATACATATAAATAATTGTATATGTTGGACTATATTAATAAATTTCGAGATCACCAATCCGTTTACTAGGCTGAACTGAAAATGGGAATTAAGCAAATTACAGGCAATGGAAATTTTGTGAAAAGGGATGAATTAGACAACGTAGGAGACAGCTTTAAGAAAACACGTTGTATTGGAAGTTTCAGGATCATATATTTCGATCAATTTTCTTAGCTTCTTTGCCAAGATGGAGTACTTATTATTTGAAGGTGGTAATGAATTATGGGATTTTGTTCGCTGATACTCCATTTCTTTGTGCAAGGTCACTAGAAATTGGAAAATAAGCAGCTTTCGCAAACCAAACGCGTATGTTAATCCATTATGCCATCCTTCAATGAAATTTGTAGTCTTTGGAATTCCTTGCAATATTGATTGCCTGTGATTCCAAAGACTTGGAGGAAAAAGACCATTAAACATATAATTCCGGTGGAAATACTCTACGTACCTTTTGCAGGCAAATTGCCCTGCAAACAGTTGAGAAACTGCCTCATATCCCTTTTCGACGTCATTTAGAGGCAACATTGATAATGCAAAGAACATTTTAATGTTCTTGCGAAATTCGGGGTCTTTTTCATATTTTGTCTTCAAACCTAATTTTTGAAGACACCTTATATTTGCCTGTTTGAAATGGAAAAAGCAACCCAGTGTTAGGCTTTCTGGGAAATTTTTTTTAAATGATGTAATTGCCGCGCTCTCGAAGTCTATTAATATAGTACGTCTTCGATTACTTAAATTTAATTTTGTTTTTATAATTTTTATTGTATTATTGTACATTTTCTCAGTTTTACCAGTTAGGACAGCAAAAATTGCAGCATGTGCTGCACCATGCTTTACAAAGTACAGCACATATAACTGGTAAAACGGTCTAGATACTATGTCAAAAGTCCCGTCTGCCATCCAAGTATCAGCTGACTCTAAGGCAGCAGTCATTTCTTTAATACAAAATATTATATATGTACATATGTATGTTGCATGAGATCTTCAGGTATGTCGGAAGGATTTTTCTTATAATATTTATTGTAATGACGCCTTAGAGTCGCTTTCAAACTTTTTTCAGATGGCAGAAGGGACTTAGATTCTTCCGACATTTTAAATGTTACATCCATAATTACCTGGAAATAAGAAAAAAAATTTTTTTAATACTTTTGTATTAGTATGTTATTTAACATAACTTACAGATCTTGATGTGGTCGTCGAAAGTAAAATAGCTTCTTTCATTTTTGTTATAGCTGCTTCGACCACCCCGTTTTATTTGTCCGGCCTCTCGTGGGTGTGTACTACTTTGGATTCCCTTTTTTTAATGTCCCCGTTCCCAAACACATATATAAATGCAGGGTATTTTTCTTTAAAGCTAACCCTGCATTTGTAACTATCGCAATATAAATTTTTACAAAAAAATTAAGTTTTAATTATCTTAATACCGCAAATAATATTAAACATAATACCTTTTAAGTATGTATTCATACCCCTCATATTTAATTATACTACAGCCTTTGGTCGTCAATTGTTTACTCATTCTGAAAGAAATAAATGTACATAATTAGATAAGATTATATAAAAATAGGTGAAATGTGCTTTTTTGGAAACCTGTATTAATATGCTAACAAATTTTTGAATAATTTGTATTTGAAAATTGTTGTTTCTTTTTAATGTAAAGTTGAAAACAAAAAGAAAAAGATCGCACATTGGGAAAAATAACGGCATAATTTTCTGTATTATTTTGTATTAGCTTTATATATTAATGAGTATGTATACTCGAGTGTATATTATGTCATTGTTTTTGCAAATGTGCGATTTGAGTTTGGTAAAGGAAAGAAAGAATTATGTATTGGCATGTATGTATGTATGTCGAAGTCAATAATTAATATGTGTATATTTATATGATTGATGTTATCAGTATGTATAATTACTCTATTTAATCCTATAATGATCTACTCAATGATCTGTATAAATAAGGAATATTGCGTGAATATAAATTTTATACTCATACATTTCCGAGAGTATACACCTGTAGATCATTAAATTTAAAGATGGAGAGTAATCAGAAATTCTTTTTTTTTATTTGTAAAATTTAATATTTTTAAAATGGAATTTTACTTTATTTTAATTAAAGTAATATAATTTAAAGTATTACTTACTTTATAGATGTACTCCTTTTTCCAATGTTCCTGAATTATTTTGTTTTTTTTTTTAAAAAAGCACAAAATTCACTAAATTCCTTTTTTAAATTATTAATTTTGAACTTGTTTTAACTTATTAATTTTGAATTTAAATTTAAAAATTTTTAATTTAATTATTTTGAATAAAAAAATTTTTTTTTAATTCACTAACTGAAAAATTTTCTTCAATTTTGTAACACAATGCGAAATTTTTTTAGCAAACCTTTAAATGGTTGTTTTTTTGTTGTTATGGTTACATAACGAAGGAGTAATAGGGTTGCATAATTAATAAAGTTCAAAAAAATTTCATCAGTATGTATATGGTATAGAGTCATTCATAGAGTCATGATATGTACGAATGAGTTACAAATTCAGTTATAAATTCATTAATTTGAAAGCATAAATGAATTATACTTTAAAAGGTAAAAAGTTATAAAATATGTTAAAAATAAATTAAAGGGTTAGAAGAATAAGGAGTTAAGTGACATTTTTCTTAAAAATAGTTTTTTGGCAGCTTTAGTCTTTTCAAAAAATTACGCATCTTTTACAAAAATTCGATTTTCGAAATATCAAGTTTTACGGTATTTAGACAATAAAAAAAAGAGTTAAGTACACATTTTAATCTTTTACTTATTAAATGAATGCGTTAAGATCACTTAAAATACTAAAATACTAAAAAATAAAGTAACTGCACATTTGTTCGAATTAGTGTAGTTGTGTTCAGTTTTGGCTACTTATGAGTAATTTGAACACATAAATGAAACGCAAATAATACAGAGAATACGTTTTGAGATTTATCAACTATAATGTTAAAAATTATAAAATTATAAAAATTGTACTACATATTTCATGTGGAATTTCTAAGAGAATACTGATTATACGGCAGCTCCTATAACAAATTTTTGACATTATTAAAGTGTCAAAAAATTAAACACAAATAATAAAAATATTGTAGGAAATAGGAATAATAAACAAATCAAATTAATTGGATTTTAAAATAAAAAATGTAAATTAAGGAAATTTAAATAACATTAAATTAACATAATTAAAAATCATTTTAAAATATTCAAAATTAAAGAACAATGTATTCACATATTTCGCATATTGACAATATGTGATAGTTAATCATTTACTGCAAAAAACTTTGAATTGATTTTTTTAATTCTAATTAAATTAACTTCGTTTCCATATAGATTTTATTCAATAGAATTTTATAATTTTTTTTAAGAAATTTTCTAAGCATATTTTTGTAAAATATCGAAACAAAAAACAGTAAAATATGAAGAATGAATATATTGTTAAAATTTTTATTCTAATTAAATTAATGACTATCGCTATACTGCCTGCTATTCAGAGTGCAAACATTTTAGCTATACTACCAAGCGTATGGAGATCACATTACATTTTTGGCTCAGCAATATTAGAAAAGTTATCATCGAATGGACACAATATAACTTTAATTACCAGCCTAAATAATATAGAGCTACATCCAATAAAAAAGAATTATTTCAACAAGGAAATTATTGTACCCCATATTAGTCAAAATTGGATAGATTCTGGCTTGAGCTTTAATTTTGAAAATATCAAAAAACTTTCTATTTTAGAATACTTTACAAGAATGGTTTATGCATCAACGTCAAACATTGATATAATATTAAAAAATAAAGAAATTAAAGAACTAATCACGAATTCTGAGAATAAATTTGATGTAATAATTGGTGACATATTTTTAGGAGATGCTTATCTGGGGTTAGTAATGCTTTTAAATTTTTTTAATTTTTATACATAAATATTCTCATTTTGAGAAATTAATTATACCATTTTTTTTTAGTTTTACTTATCGATTCCAGTGTCCATTAGTCATCATCAGTCCCACTGGAAATAATAGATGGATTGATGAAATGATTGGAAATCCTATTACAGCAGCCCGTAATCCAAGTAATTTTTTACCTTTAACAGAAGAAATGAACTTTTTCGAACGCACTCAAAATACTTTGATGAGCATATTTGAGAAATTTTCATATAAGTATGCATGAAAGTAATATAATTAAGTACCCACCTAACTATTAATTGAATTTTTAATTTTAGTTTTTTCCATATAATGTATCAAGAAAAAATTTACCAGAAATGCTTTAAAGATAAAGAAAAAAAAATTCCTGCACTTAAAACTTTAATTGATAATATCGATTTAGTATTGCTAAATTCTAATCCAGTCACTCAACAACCAAATGCATTTCTGCCACATGTGAAAGAAGTAGGAGGGGCTCACATCAATCATTATCAAGGAAAAGAAATAAGACTTCCAAATGATGTTTTGAACTTTATTGAAGAATCTTTTAATGATGTAATTTATATAAATATTGGAGGAAATTCTAATACTAGTGAATTGCCTGAAGAAAAATTTAAAGAATTGTTAAAACTAATTAATGAACTTGAAAAAATGAATTTAAGAATAATTCTACGTTGGGAAAATTTTAAAACATCTATTAAGTCGAATAATTTATACGTTAAGTATTGGTTGCCACAACAAGAAATTTTAGGTAATAAAAATTTGAAATTTTTTTTAAAAATAAAATATAAAATAAAATATATTTTTGGAAACTTTCCAGCTCATTCTAAAGTAAAATTATTTATAACAACTGGTGGTTCAATGAGTATTATGGAGGCAGTTTTTTATGAAAAATTAATTATTTGCATTCCAATTTTACCTCAACATGAAGTTAATATAAAACGAATAAAGAGTCAAGGCTATGGTGCAATAATAGAAAATTATGAACATTTAAATGCTGCTAGTATACTTAGTAAAATTAAAAATTTAATTAATAATGAAACTTATTATGAAAATAACAAGAAAATTTCACAAAAATTCAAAAATGTTCCAAATAATCCAATGAACTTAAGTACTTATTTAATTGAATTACTTATAAAAGAAAAACGATTTGATTATTTAAAATCGTCATATTATATTCAAATGAATTTTATACAAAAAGAACTTATTGATGTCATGTTAATTATATTATTAGGAACTATAGTCATCATTGGCTTGCCTTCTATTGTGATATGTTTTTTATTACGTAAAAACAATATGAATTCGAACAATAATACTATGTATAAAAAATTATCAAGTGCTAGTTTCGATACAAGTGCCAGTACATTTTTAAGGAAATTAATGAAATCTAAAAATATAGATATTAAAAATAAGCATAAACATAAGAGAAATTAAATTGTTTGATTTTTTTTTTATTGTATATTTTTGTTTTGATTTATGATTGTATAATTTTTTTTACATTATATGTCACATAGTTTATAAGAAAACTTGTTAATACTGTTGGTATTTTACGTACCTATAACATAAATGGTTCAAGAAATAAAGTTTTATTAATACCTATGTACAATTTATTTTAAAATTTTATTCTTAAATAATTTGACATTATTATTGCACTTGTATTGTGAATATTCTTAAAACATTGCTTAGTTTTGAAAATCCTTCAATATTCCATTAAAATTTATGTTCATCTCCAATTATCCAGCTTTTGAAAATTAGTTTTATTTCATATGAAAGATATATTACATCCATTTTACAAAAAAATAAAACTCGACGAAATGGAAAAGAAGTGTAACCAGGGGGTAAATTATTTTTAAAATGTCATTTTCGAATTGACAATCAACTATCAACGGTTTGACAGTTGATATTTTTATTATGTCAAAATTGTAGGTTATACGTAGTTTCCAAATAAAAATACATATTTCCAATCGAAGTTCGAGAGAAACTCAAAAGTAAAAATATATTTTTATAAATTGTAACAAATATGAGGCATGCAAAATTTATAGCTAGAACAGTGTTTGTACAAAATAATAATCTTGAGGAAGCCTGTCGTTTATTAAATAGAATTTTGGGTAAGGAAGAAATATTTGATCAATACAGAAGAACCAGATATTACGAAAAACCATACCAGGTGATTAACATACATTCTTTCTTGTACATCATGGTATAAAAGTTTTTGATTCCAGGTTCGCCGTAGGATTAATTATGAAAAATGTAAATCAATATATAACGAAGACATGAATAGGAAAATTCAATTTATATTAAGGAAAAACCGTGTTGAGCCTTTTCCTGGGTGCAAATAATATTTTTGATAGGCAAATGAAAATTAAAAATGTCTAATATTCGATCAAAAATAAACAAATAATGAAAATTAGTTTATAAAAATATATATTAAAAGAAACGCATTTATTTTTCATTTTTTAAAAGTAGAAAAAATAATTCAAGTTAATGAGTTTAAAACAAAAATTTTAAGTTTAGAATTCTTTGAATATTAAAAATCTTCCGTTAAATTGATAAATGTATCTAATCTATTTGGCATCTTTTTGTGATTTCTTTATAAAATCAGAAGCAATTTTAAAAATAACAGATGCAGTTGGCCGATCTTCAGGCAATTCGTTTGTACAAATAAAAAACAATTCAATAATTTCCTTGTATTCATCTGAAACTTGAAAATTTTCGGGCAACGGTGGCCTTGTCCCATAACACATTGATTCAGTTGAAGTATCTAAACTTTCGTTTGTAATGTCAGAATTTTCTTTGGCTTCCTCGTCATCATTTATTTTCAATGTATGTGGTGGTAGTAAGGCTAAAGTTTCGTAAATAATTAATCCAAAACTAAAAATATCGGATTTTGAGCAAATTATGGTTTCACCGTCAATAACTTCTGGTGCTGACCACAATTGTGTTCCAATATATTCTAAATCTGGATTTTTAGTAAAATCGATTATACCTTCGTCATTTAATGGCAAACTAACACCAAAATCACATAGTTTACAAATTTCAAAATCTCCTTTAATAAGTATATTGAATGATTTTAGATCAGCATGTAATAGTTTTGCTTCTTCATGTAAATACTTTAATGCATTAGAAATATCCAATACAACTTTCCAAATTTCATTTGCTGGTAAAGGGCCCAAATCATCCTCGCAACGTTCTTCTAAAATTGTACCAAGACAAGTTGTACAACATTCTATTGCCAGAGAATCTACACCTTCTGAACTTTTCTCAAATGCACGAAAGCCAATAATATTTGGATGAGATAATTTACGTAATATTTCTGCTTCAGCTTTTAATCTTATATCATATATTTCATTTCCTTTTTGTTCTCTTGCAGTTTTAGATAATCTTTTTATGGCCCATGGTGATTGATTTTTGCCTGTAGGTGAACGTTCTAGTTTCCAAACATTCACACCTGTACCAAAACCAAGCTTAGTTAAATGTGGTGATGATGGTATTGTTAATTGGCATCCAATTTTTGAAATATTATCCAAATGTTTTCTTCTTAAAAATTTCTGTGGTGTTTGTGTGTCCATATTTAATTTCTCTTTTTAAAAAACAAACAAAATTTTTGATTAAATATTTTCGGTTTCCGCTCTATGTAAGTTAGCAGGTCTTTTCTTTTGTTTTCTAAAATATTTGAAAATTCAACTGATTTATAGGGAAATGAATTTCAAACTAAATATGAACGCAGATTTGCCAGACTTTTTGTTTTTATGTTGGGTACAACTATAAAATTTGATGCTAATAGGTGGAGTAAGTAGACCTTTTTCCATTTAATTTCATATAAAAATAAATGCTTTTATTTTTTTAAATATTTCTTGAGTGAGAAAATCAATTTAATTTCTTGTTTGTTTAACAAGAATGTTTCGAAGGAAAATATTAACCTTTTTTTTTTATAAAATTTAATTGCTAAATTTTTAATAATTCACAGCTAAAATATTTTTATTTTTACTGTTCAACCCTGAAAAATAAGTGTAATAATTTTAATTTTTATACATTTTTTAGAGACATCTATGTTTCATTCAAAGAAACATGTATAATAATTTTTTTATATTTAAAGATGTAAGAGGCGCTTATTTCTTTGACTTGTAAGAAATTTTTAAATTTTCTAAATACAATTTTTTTTTTGAAGGAACTACCGCAACGCAATATTGGAACTTCAACTTTAAATTAAATAAAAGTGTTGTGATTAAAATATTGAATTTTTATTTAATATAAATTTTGATAACAATTTTATGTTTAAACTAAAAAAATAGTTTTTATTAAAATCGAACGAAATAAAATAGAAGTTATGGGACACTTGTATACGAGAAGAGAGATAGTGAGAGTTTCTGGGTAGAAATTAATTTTAAATAGAAAGTTGAAGTGTTGAACCTGACCTAGAGAATGAGGAAGACCTAGAGATTCTTGAAATTCAGAATATCAAATATAATTTGATATTAGTTGTTGTAAGTAGTATAATTTAAATAAAATTGATTATTAATGGCTTGATTATCAATTTCCTATTCATTTTAGGTACATACATATGTACTTGGACATCAAAATTAATTCCAAGAAGGAAAATTATCTTGCCAAAATATCAGTAATTTTAATAATTTAGACCAGTGAATTTAACAATTCACTAATTAGCATATTCACAAAAAAATATTAATAAATTCTTATATTGCAAGTGAAGAAGGTTTTCAATAATTCAGATTCATGCTTAAAACTCTAACTTAAATCTGAAAAATCATTTTTTGGATTATTATAGATTTGCAGAAACTACCGAGTTTAGTTTGTCAGGCTTTTTATATTTAATATTTTTCGAACGTGCTTCTTTTGTATAGTAAAAATTTATCCAATATGAACTTAAGTTAGATCTAAATTTTCGCAAATTCCCCCCTAGTTATATGACAAACATACAAAACTACCTACAATAAATTACATTTTATATTTTACTAACCATTATCAGAAAAGCTTTGGAATCAGTTGGTACGAGTGTTAACTAACGCGTATAAAGTGTATAACTAGTGAAAGATCGTATACAATGCTTAATATTGAAAGATCAAAAATTTTTATGAAAAATAAAAATAAAAATTAATAACCTTTATTGTAAAAAGCTTTTTTAGTCCATTTATGATTTTATTTTATAATAGAGCCGCATTAAATTCTTATTAAAAAAACTTGAGTCTCTTAAACTATTATACAAAGATAAATAGAAAATACTGATTTCGGTTGGATAAAAAAATAACAAAAAAAAAATTTTTTCTTATATTTTTTCAACATCGTTATAAAATTTTAATTTAAAAACCAAAACTTTTATAAATTTTCATATCAGACGGTTTTAAACCGTTGTATTGTTTAAATGTTCGTCTTGTGAAATTCACGGTCTCATCTTTATTAAATTGGTGTGCATTTGGAAACAAAAAATAATTAAAAATTTATTAATTAATTGTTAAAAAAATAAAATTTCATCTAGAAATTTATATTTGAATTTATTTTTATTAAGAAATTAAATAAAATATTTAATAAAATTATTTTAATATACGCAAAAAAAATACTTAAGTGTGGAAAGTGTTATACAGTTTTCAATATAAATAGTATTTTGATATTATAGGAAGGAATTTATTAAATTTATAGAGTCAATCTGTAGCAAAAATGGAAATATAAAATTTAATACATAAATACAATATTATATTAACAAATACTTAATTAAATTAATAATTATATAAAAACGAAATTATCCACCATTTTGGTTTGGTTTTCCACCCACGGAACATATAATAATTATAATTTATTAAAATCTAATTATAATAATATATTATTTGAAACTAATTGGAATTAAATAGTAAGTACATATAATAATTAATATATTATTAAAATAATTAAATCACGTAAATTACATATTTCAATATTTTATGTCTCTATAATTATTTTAATTTTAAAATTAAATTCAAATTCAATTCTACACCAATGCGTCTGTGTACGTTCCATATTTCATCGGTTAAGAAGCAGAAAGTATTAAGTTAGGAAACTGTGTTTTGAGTAAATTCAATTTGAAAAAATCGTAAAATTGTAAAACTAATCAATTAGTGCAATGGGATTGATCTCTTTAATTTCTCGATTTATAAACTATATTCTGGATTTGCATGATTTTTTGCCACAACAAAGATTATATTATTCTAATTTAATTCATCTATGAATTCCGAATTCTCAAAAAAATGCACTTAGTGCTTTCTGCCTTTTAACCGACGATTTATTTTAAGCTGTTTAATCTTACACACTAGAACGAATATCACAGTTTGATATTATGTATATTGTAGTGAATTCGGCAGATTGTTTAAGTCGAATTCGTAAAGAAATTTGTCGAGAGAAAATATGATGAAAAACGAGTTTGTGAATTTGTCAAAATTATTCGTATAAAGAAATTTTATTGTGATTTCCTTTAAAAAAAACTGTTAATCCTGTACAATACTGTAATTATGTAAAACAAATGCTGGCAAATATTGTGGCTTAAATGAATTCGACAAGTTGTTGGATTAAAGGGCTCAAATAATAAGTTTATAAAATATTTTTCATTGAAATAAAAGTTTAAATTGAAATCTTTTCGATACTTTTTCGAATAAGAGCTTAAAAAAATTACAGTATAAGAATTAAGTACAGAAAATATTAAATTCTGTATACTTAAAATGTATGAATGTGAAAAAATTAGAACTTTACCAATCTGACTTATAAATATAATTGAAAACACCGTTAATTTGATTAATTTTTTTTTTTTGATATCCTAAAACGATAGTTTTGCTCTATCGTGTTTTTGCCTCTATTCTGTACGTGTCTATATTTCGTGAAAGAAGGCACGGAAGTGCTGTCACAGTACTTTAAACTAATTCGAGAGGTCTCGTTCGTTTCGGTCTCTTTATCCAAACGCGTCCTATGTTTCATGGCGCAGTTATTTATCTCCTCACTTACTTGATTGACACTCAGATTCGATCCATATGAGAATCACTTTTGCACACTTAGTTTAAATTTTTTTATGAAAACAATTAATTTAATAAATAAATTGCAGTAACATTTTACAAGTGTCATCCTTGGATTTGATTTCGATAATTCAGTATGTTTCGGTATTAAATACGTACAATATATGTATATACATACCTAGATGTTGAATTTCGTAACTCCATCGTAACTATATAAAACAAAATTCTGTATGGGAAATTCCCCAAAATTTTATTCTATTATAACGATTGCCTACATATTATGTAAATATATAATTAAGAATTTTTTTTTTAAATTTAATTTACTTTATATTATATTGTTGTAAAACTAATCTAATTTTATTTGTTTGTTATATAATTAAGTATATATACATATGTACATATACATATATAAGTTATATATGATAAATATTATTTAATTTTTAAAAATTTTCTTCTAATCCATTGAGATTTGAAAAGTTGTTGACTGTCTGCCTTAATAATAAAAAAAAAACATTGTGAAATTGAAATTAGATAAAAATTTTCTATAAATTTATTGATTAAGTAACAAGACAATAGAGTTGCTTTTAGCTTAATTATGGCAAGTTTCGATGAAGTTAATTTGTTCGAAATTCATTCTAAATTGCAAAGTAAAAGTTTAAATAAATTTTGAATTAAAATTAAATGCTTGAATTCATTATACTATAGAATATAACAGTAGAATATAACAGTATTTAATTAAGTATTAATTGTAAATCACGTTTATTTTATTTTGCATACAATAATTTTTGTATTTTAGATACATAATATGCGCATTCGTACATACATACAATAAAATATTAGTGAAATGTGAAATTTTATACCATTGTTCACATACATTTGTATATAATTATTCTAATTGTTATAAAAAGCACTGTATATCTTTCTAAAAATTAATTGTTATACTGTTATACCTGTGTAATTTTAATTTAGAAATCGTTTCGTTAATTTCTAATGAATAAATATATTATTTACTTGTACTTTTGCTAAATTGAATGACAATATTGTTATTTACTAAATAATTTTCTGGAATTAAAAAATCATACTGTTAAAGAATGCTGTTGCGTACACAATATAAGTGTAATATAGTAGGACACTTGTATGTTGTTGTATTATGGAACGTATATGGAACATTGTATGAAATATAGTTGAAGAAAATATACACACTTGTATTATAGTTATAATGAAAAAAATAAAATAGAATATATCTGTTATACAGTATATTGTAAAATGTTAAAATATGCAATATTCTGAGTCATAATTATTATACAAATTGAATATATAAGGAAGAGATTTTAAATTACAAAGAATTCATTTCAATTAACTAACTGAATAATAATTTAACAACAACTGGTTAATAATCACAATATAAAATACGTCATACGAGTATAATAGTAAATGTAATGTATATAACAATAAGTATTATTTTAATTTGAGAAATCACAGTTTCCATTAATAGATTACAATCCGTTAAATATGAGTTATGTATGTGTTTTGTAATATTAATGGCATAATTATAATAAAGTTGAAAAAAGCTTAATATGTCATAAAAAGTTCTAAGTCGAAACAGACTTAAAACATATGATTTGAATACAAAAATTGCTAATCTTCTAAAATTTCAAGTATATTATATTTACATTTATTAAATATAAAATTTTGAATCACAAAGCTATCCGAACTGTATGCAATACGCAACAATTTAAAAATTATTTTATAATTAAATTTCATGTTGTGTGCATTCTATAAGTAAATAGGGTGGGCTGGCAATTTTACCTATCTTGAGTTAACAGCTATATGATATCCCGATACAAAATTTAGTACTTATGTAACTTTAGTAAGTGTACAAGAAATAAAAATAATCAACTGCTTGAAATTTGAAATTTCTAGCGTTCGGAAACGTTTGCTTCTACATACGCTTTTACGATTTAAATATACTCTCTATGAGACAGAAAGGCATAGACGGATTGTAATAAAGATTAATAACGGAATAAAACATATTAATATGTGGTAATATGCCCCCATATTAATATGTGGTAATGGGAGTTTCCGTATTCTATTGAGCACTTCTATTGAATCATATAATGATTCATAATGATTCAATAGAAAATCGGGTTCAATGCAATTTATTGAATCATATCCATATGTTCATTTAAATATCACAAATATTTTGAAAAATTAAAGGGTTAAACATTTTGTTATAGAAAAAAAAAAATTCTTTATTATTTAAGACGTCAAAATGTTATTGACATTCGAAATTATTTTTATATAGATGACAAGGCATAATTGCTTTGATATAAAATGCACTTGGAAAATAATAATTATGAAATTTTTATAATGCTTAATAATGAATTTAGATTTAGAAGAATAAAAAAATATAAAAACTGTACTATTTATAAAACTATAAAATAATTATTAAAGAAAATTTTTAAATAGTAAAAATGCATTTTTTTTTAAATTATTTTATCAAGGTTAACAAGCTTTGATTTTTTATAGTATTTTAAATAGAATAAAAATTTTAAGCAGAAAATAAACATTTACATATGTAAAAAATTTTTTTTTTTTAATTTTTTTCTCATATAGCTTGTTAATTGCTTTCCAAAGCAATGTACTGCGGGCTTTTTTTTTTCTAAATCGTTACAATGAATGATCAAATACGAGTACACAAGAACAGAAAAACAAAAAAAAATTAATTTTATCTTAATTATAAAAAATTATATAAAATGATCATAATTCTCTGTAGGTACATTTTGTGTAGTTCCTTCATGCACATACACATATATGAATATTATCTGTTACAACTGCACAAGTATGTACATCTATTATTCGAAAATTACAAGCTACGCCTTACTATGTACATAAAATATTTTAAAAATCAAATTATTGTTGTAAGTGACATGAGAAAATCAAAATCAGACAATGGTTTTGAACAACAGTTTGAATAAGGAACTACATTTAAAAGTTATCAATCATAATAATTCTGTACCAAATTGGAAAATGTATACAATTTGGAAACATTAAATTATTATTAATAATTTCATATAATTTTAAAAATTATAAATAAAAGTGTTAATTTTAAAGGTCAGCTATTAATTACAATGCAAATATTTTACACCCTACCGATTTTTGATAATTTCAATTGTTAAGTATCACAAAATTATTACAATAAATGTCATACACATGTAATTATAAATTTTTTAAGTTAGCACTATAAAATAAATGGGCTTTTACCAAAAAAAAATACAATAGATTTTCTTGGTCTATGGTATTATAAAAGTTTCCATGATAATAAAAAATCTTGTTAGCTAAGGTTAAGGAAAAATTTTTTTCAGTCAGCAATATGACAAGATTCATTTCTGAATTTAATAGACCTTGGAAAATAATTTATTGGTTTACTTAATATTTTTGAGTCATTGTCCAAGTCGTAAAGTGGTTTTTGTTCAAATTTTAAAATTTCAGATTCCAAATGTTAAAAATATTGGGGTGAAATAAATTCTGCACTAGGTAATTTGGTAGTCCTGATTATAATTGATTGTAAAAGAATTAATGCCGAATATATGTATAATTTGGCTTCGTAGAATTATTAGGATAATGGTGTTGTACAAATACCTGAGATTTTATGATAATATTGTAGTTAAATTATGGTGTAAATGAAATACATACTTCTTTTACACCATTTCATACAATATCATATACATATATACATACATATTTTTCAGATACTGTCTATATTTTATTTATAATTGCAAATATAATTAATAATTTTTCTATTCAGTCTTTGTCACAGAATTGAATAAAAATGTTTGAGGCTTCTAGTTAGGTATGATTTGTTTTTTTT